TCTTTTCCCTTGATTTTTATAGCCCCATTTTTTCTACTTTCCTTCTATCACTTTCATTAATATTTTTCAAAGAGGCTGAATGGTATGTGGAAAGAATAAGAACTTTAAAGTTACAGAGAGCTGGATTTAAATCCCCACTTAGTAATACATTTACTTAGTGTACGGTCTTGGATATGTCACTTAACACACCTCCCGGAGGCTCAGTTCGATCATCTTTAAAATAGGGATAATAATATCTGCCTCCATCTGCTACTGTTTAGACTAAAAGAGATAATGAAAATGAGCCCTAACACAGTGCCTGACATGCAGGAGGCACTTCATAAATGGATACTGTGGANCTTTTTTAAGGTGGGAGATACAGAGCATATTTTCATGTCACTGGAGATGATCTAACAGAGAAAAAGGAAGAGGTTAGCTATAGAAGAGAAGTCTTTGAGGGATGTGCTTTGGAGAACAAGCAGAAGTAGAAGGGGGGGGGCTGTGACAGGAACAGGGACTCTCTGTTGTGATGGGAAGGAGGGCAGAGAACATAGCTGACCAGTCAGGTAGGTTGGAGGATGTGGGGGTGGGGAGGAGGTGAGGCCATCAGCTGGCCCTTCCATTACGGTCACCTGCTGCAAGGTTAACAATCACCAGGCACTCTAAGCCTCTTCTTCTCCTGTTCTCACTGGCCTGTTCCCTGAGAATTGCATTTTCCCTGTAGCCTTCTCAGGGGAAGGATGTCAATCTCCCCCTAACCCCCACGCAGCATGGGAGGGAGCCCAGACTCTCCCCTTCCAAACCATCTGTTCTTCTCCTCCTCCATACCAGCCAACACAAATAAACCCCGTATCTTGCATAGTTCCTGCCACACCACAGACAATCAATAAATACTTGTTTAAAATGACAAACAAACCCCACCCTTTTAAGGCCAGTCCGTGCAAACCATATTCCCTGCTAACTCATCACTCTCATCCAGATTCTCTGTCACAGGCTTCGCCTCTGCTCTGTTGCCAGCACCCCTCATTGTGCAATTTGCAATTCGGTGTTCTCAAACTCGAAGAGCTTCTTCTCTGATCCTCTCTGGTCACCCACTGTTAGGACCACATCTAAGGCCAGTCAGGCTTTCCCACTCCTGCCTTGGAAGGAATTTCAGTGGAAACGAATACCTTATTCTCTCCCTTCACTTCAATTCTGCACTAATCGTGTGAAACAGTTCCCCCTAGTGGACAAACATTGCATACGCATTCTGTACATTTGGAATTATGTGGAGACTATTTTTGAAATGCCTGGTGAAAAAAGAATAATTCATCCATTCAAGAGACATTTCTTGGGGCTGGCCGGTTCGCTCAGCTGGTTAGAGTGTGGTGTTATAACACCAAGGTCAAGGGTTTGGAGCCCCTTACTGGTCAGCCACCAAAAAAAAAATCCCACCAAAAAACAAAAAGCAAGAGACATTTCTTGAGCACCTGTTATGAGTGTGGCATATCTGAAATTCTTTTGAGGCGCACAGTTTCACTGTTATCACATGAGCAGACATCAAAACAAAAAGGCAGTGACAAAGTGTCATGTTCCTGCTGCCTCTGCCATAGTGTTAGCTGTGACTGAATAAATTCAGAGGGACCCTAAACTAGGCCAATACTGGAAGAAGCTGGGGCTAGTTCCAACTCTGGAGGAGTTCATCAGCATAAGTCTTTCTTTTTTTTTCCTGTAAACTTATTCAGCGAACTTCTACTGAGCACCCATCATGTTCTAGGTCCTGAGTTTGAAAAAGAGATGAATCAGGCCCTCTCTCTGCCCTGGAGTTGCTCAGAGGTCTGGAGGAGAAAGGCAAGTACTCACCAGTGCAGTGGGTATGAGCAGTATTCACTCACTCGCTCGCTCACTCAACAAACATGCAATGATGACCTAACATGTGCTAGGGACCATGCTGAGGATATAAGGATAAAAACCACCATAGCTGCACTGAAGTTGTGTACAGTCTATACACGGAGGAGGTACTGGAGGGGGGTGGGGACAGGGTGGCTCAAAGGAAGGAGGACTGACGTTTGGGCAGGGGCTGAAGGCAAGGTCAGGGAAGAAATGCTTAAGCTGAGAAGCCATGGGTGAGTAGGAGTGGCCATGTGTGCAACACGGAGGTGGGACAGGGCGAGGAAGGTCTCAATGCTACCCAACCTAGTCTCTTTGGGATTGCTTGATTAAGCTTCCCAACATAATTCTACTGCCAGGTCACCCCTTGCTCCAGTGCCAGCAACAACTCTCTGCCACTGGGTCTGAGCTTTAGGTAGGTCCCGCTACCACTCCACCCCTCGCTGGCAGCACTTCCTCAGCTAGGACCTCTGCTGCAGCTGGTAACCCATAGACGTCAACATAGTGTTACTTCTCGACATACAAGGCCCACATCCGCACACATGTCTGGGCACAAACAAATACAAAATTGATAATGCTGCTGAAGGAATAACCTGATTGACATTCAGTTTAAATACTGCTGCCAAAAATGAATCTAAGTTGAAAGTGAGTCTCCAGACCTTTGTTGATCTTCCCCAGGACCTCACTTGCACGTCTGAACTCCAGTACCCATCTGCTTCTTCCACCCCTCCCAGGCTTCCTGGACCTGGGGCTCAGCCTGTCGTCCTGGACATAGGAGTCCCTATATGTACCAGTGCCCAGCCCATTCCTGCCTTAATGGGCCACTCTGTCCTGGTCTCCTCGGCCCTGCCCATTTCCACTTCCATAGGCCACTTTATTCTCCATACCCAGGCAGTGCCCTGTCCTGTCAATTCTCTCTTCCCAGGACCTATGTATCCAGCTAGACCAGGACATTCTTATTTCGTTGTCTGAACAACGCAAAAGGCCTCCCAACTGGCCTCCAGCCTCCAGCCTCCCTGTGGCTCTATCCCAGCTGGCACAGTGCTACCGGGCAATCTTCCTGAAGCACTGTGTTCCCTCTGCCCTCCCCTGGGCACTGAAAAGTTAGTTCACTTTTCAGTGGCTCCATGCTGCCTACTGGAGAGAGTGCCAGTACTGTTCCTGGCATCCAAAATGCTCCTCAATCTGGCCCTAGCTTCCCTTTCTAGGTTTTCCTAAAACTAGACCTCTGCCAAACCTCCACCAAATGAGCTACTCGTCATTCCCCAGACACATCTTGTCCTTCCCTAGGTTTATCCATTCGTTTTTACAATTCCCGTTTCCAGAATGTCCTCTCTGCTCCTTTCTTTTTCTTTTTTGGCAGCTGGCTGGTACAGGGATCTGAACCATTCCCCTCTGCTCCTTTCTACCGTCCAAAATCCTTCCCATTCTCCAAGGCTCAGTTCAGACACCATTTTGGTGAACCCTTGCTTGATCCCTCCTGTTGAAAGTAGAATCTCCCTTCTCTGAACTATTATAGGAAAAGTGAAGGAAATACATCCTCTAAATACCTGTCACATTCTTTATGTTAAAAGCATAAGCTTTAAAGTTAGACAAATCTGGTTTGAATCTAACTAGCTGTGTATCCCTGGGAAGCATACTTAATCTCTCTGTGCTTCAATGTTTTATCTTGAAATACATAAAACATAAAAATATCTATCTCCATCACTCATTTAAATATTTGAACACCTAATATGTACTAAGCTTTGTACTCTCATGGTTATTTTGAGAATTAAATAAACGATGTATAAAAAGTGGCTGCACATAGGGGCACTCAATAAATGAAAACTTATTAATTCTACCATGGCTTTGTACTCTCATGGTTATTTTGAGAATTAAATAAACAATGTATAAAAAGTGGCTGCACATAGGGGCACTCAATAAATGAAAACTTATTAATTCTACCATTATCTTAGTTTCTTAGAAGGACATTCCTCAGGATGATTTCTGTTTAGAGGAGAAGCACCACATAAGACTGGGAACCAGACACAGCTCTGGATCTAGGCAGATTGTAATAACTGTTAAAGCACCATGTGGCTGACTGGAAGCAGGGAACAGGACTGTCATTTTCTGAATAACTCACTGATGGATACTGAGCCAGCATCTTCTATCTGCCAAGGCCATCCATCCAGGACACTCAACAACAAGGCTTTTTGTGACTAAGAGAAAACTTCTGAGATTTAATCTGCCTAGTGCTCGCTGCCACCTTCCTTGATCTGGAGTAGGTCTCCCTACCTTCATACTGGACTTCCAGGTGCATCGTGCCCAGTACCTTCAGCACACAGTCCACGATGCTGGGGTGTGTGGTTCCAATGATTGACTGACAAGACAGACAACAGGACAAGGTGGTTACTCTTTAGATCTTGTCCACCAGGAAGAAATGAAATGCAGACTACCAAACAGCTAGGCACCCAGGTGAATGGGGAAGAGGGAGGGCGGGAGAGCAGTGGTGAGTCACTGGGCCTGGGCCCCACCCCCTAGAGAGGAGGGGCAGAGATGGGCGGCCAAAAATCTGACTGGGAATCTGCAGAGGTTGCCTCTGAAACTTCAAGCTCTGGAGGCATTAAGTCAATGCTAGTTGGCCACCTGCTAGAGGTGCCAGAACAAGGTCTACTATCTTGGTTGGGGGCAGGAAGGACACTGGGCAGGGAGAGTGGAACTCATCCCAGATCGTAAAATCTTCTCTTCCTCAGGAACCCCACCCCAGTGGTCAATTCCTCTTTCTTACCTCTTCAGATTTTTCCCATTTATTGGTTCCTCTCCTTTAACAGTAAACATCCTCAAGCTCACCCATATTTAAGAAAGTTACCCTTCAACTCTGTTTTCTTCTTTGTTATTGTTCTTTTTTTCCCCCTTTACATCTGCTGTGGATTGATTGAATAGTACCCTCCAAAGTTCATACGTCAGAAGCTTAATTCCCACTGTAACTGTTTTTTTTGTTGTTGTTGTTGTTGTTTGTTTGTTTGTTTGTTTTGTTTTTTAAAGATGACTGGTAAGGGGATCTTAACCCTTGACTTGGTGTCGTCAGCACCACGCTCACCCAAGTGAGCCACAGGCCGCTGTTGAGGGTGGGAAATCTGTTATAGTAATTGAAAGATGGGGCCTTGGAGAGGTGATTAGGTTGTAGGACCGTGCCATAGCGAATGGATTGATAACAGTGGTCAGGGGTGTGTGTCTGAGGACTTTAAAAGTCGAGCAAGTGAGAGTCTCTCTCTCTGCCCCACCGTTCTGCCATGTGAGACCCCTGCATCACCATCAAAGAAGGCCCTCACCACATGTGTTCCCTGGCCTCAGGACTTCCCAGCCTCCCAAACTGTAAGCAATAAATTTTTTTCCTTATAAATTACCCAGTTCCATGTATTTTGTTATAAGCAACAGAAACAGACTAATACAACATCTAAGCTTCCCAAGAGAAGCCACTTCTTCATTCCCCATTCATCCTTTTTTTTTTTTATGCTATACGAAGTTATTACGAAATAAGACAAATATACAAATAACCGAAAACTATATTCTGCCATTACATTACATTATATTTACTTCAACTTTATAAATTTTATTTAATATAATATTGCGGTAACCAATATTTTGAAGGTGTATAATGTACCTACTTTGTATTCCTTGATTATAAGAAATAGAAATAAAATCAGTTTACTTGAGAACAGAGGCCAGAAAAACTGAACTTTTTCTAACTTTGTAATTTACATAAGCAGTTTATTTTTTTATGTATTTCTTATTTTTTTGCTAACTGGGTTTAGATGCATCTCATTTTGAAAAATATGGAAACCTTGGGAATGAGAAATAAACTCCATCTTTCACTTCTTTCTACATGCCACTAGCAGGTACCATACTAATCCCACATGTTTTAGACAAATAAAAGGAGAACCATTCACAAATCCATCTATATTTCTCTTATTAATTAATAAACACCATGCTGTGAGTATCTGGTGATAATGTACTAATAAGTAAAATCAGTGAATGTACACTGATGAAGTAATTGGTGCTGTAGAGAAGAAAATGATGTACTGTGCATTGATCCTTTAGCAATCTTCTAACTAAAAAGAAGAAAGAAAGCTAATTACTTTAGTAGGTAACTGAAAATGATAAGATTAAAACAAGCTAATTGTATGTTCTTGAATAATGACTTACTTTGATGAAAGTAAGTCAAGGAAAGAAATACTGTGATCCAGGCAAAGAAATATTCAATTTTACTAATTGCAACATAATCCTGATTCATTTAACTGTCCTTAACCTATTTTAAAGAAGTTTAAATAGAAACAGCAAACATTATTAAACAGAAATATATGACCCATTTCCTCATAGTACACAAGTAAGAACTAAAACTTCAAATATTCTTGCATGTGTGAGAATAAAATTAAAAATTTACTGGGTAAAAGGAAACAAAAAATTGTTTAATAACCTTCCTTAGGTTCGGATCCCTTTATAGGGATGGCTGGTTAGCTCACTTAGGAGAACATGGTGCTGACAACACCAAGTCAAGGGTTAAGATCCCCTTACCGGTCATCTTTTAGAAAAATAATAATAATAATAATTTTATTACAAATTTATTTCTAGAGCTATTTATAACTCAGTTTCACAAGATTTTAGTCAAAGCTCAATAGATCTTTGTTGAATGGGTGCCTGAAAGAGGATATATTTAAAATGGAGAAGTATTTCTAAGGCCACCATTGAAAACTTTGAGCAAATGATGAATCAGGAAAATCATAAATCCAGGTCTTCCAGTGGTGACACAGACGGGAGCTAATTGAGCCCACTGTACAAAATGCTTCCTGTGCCACCAGTTCTATACTGCTTTTTCCTCTGGCAGTGGTGGGTGCTGCCACCATCTCACCCAGGCCCCGAGGGGAACATGGGAATGGACACCCTTGCCATATGCGGTACCCACCATAGCTTTCACAGATGAGCTCCTTGTACTTCCTGCCAGAGTTTGCAATAACCTGAAGTAGCTTGATGGCTTCCTTCTTGTCCTCCTCTTTGGTCTTCTCCAGCCCAAGTATTTCCAAGAGTGTTAGGACACCTCCAACCTCAAGAAATTCTATAAGGTACCGATTGCTGACCAGAGGGATAGAAGAGTAAAAATAAAACACTTGTCGAGTTCATTGGCATTGATAATTCTAAGGGATCCCAAGGTCCTTTCTTCACATACTTTGCCCTCCTATCCAGGAAATGTCTGTAGATAAAGTGACACGAGAGTTTGGAAATTCTTCCTTCCAGCAGGAAATACTGGAATTAACTACAACAGACACTTCTTATTTTTGGCTTTCCAGCATCCGTTCCCCTTCTTCTTGTCATAGCACCTCAGGTGTTCTTTGGGGAATCACCACTCTGCTGCTCGTGGGCCATGTGGTTTTGGTGGGGTGAGAAGGTGACAGGATGTCATCATTTGGACTATAGAAATTGATTTGGGGCTCAGCATGTGACCTAAGTTGGCCCAATAAGGCTCAAACCCTAGGGCTTTCTTGGGAGCCCGTGGAAAAGATACACTCTGTTTTTAGTAATGCTGAGATATAAGGCTGCATGTCTGGAGCTCCTGAGGACCACAGCACACAGAGGCCTATGAATACAGAAGAGAAGACTGAGAAACGGAGGAAAAGAGAGAGAGTAATGATGACATTGTTTGAGCCCCTATATAAGGCTGCATGTCTGGAGCTCCTGAGGACCACAGCACACAGAGGCCTATGAATACGGAAGAGAAGACTGAGAAACGGAGGAAAAGAGAGAGAGTAATGATGACATTGTTTGAGCCCCTGGATCTAGTCAGGCCTGAGATATGTATTTCCACGTCTGGGTTTTTTAGTTTAGTGAGCCAGTAAATTTCCTTTCCTGAGTCTAGTATGAGTTTGTTTTCTGTAATTCACAAACAAGGAGGTGCTGACCAGTGAAGTGCCAGTGAAGAACATGGGATGGAGGAGCAAGGAGAACAGGATCGTGCCTGACACTATCTCTGGGCCCATCCCAAGGGCTACTGGGCACCCACTGGTAACTAGAATCCATGGTCCCCTGTGGTGTGAATGCCAAGGACACCACGAGCCTGACATGCCACTGAGAACTCAGAATCTCTCTAGAACAGAACTCACCTGCTTACAGCTGATAAGAAGATGCCGATGGACCTTAGCAGCTTTTCTAAACATGCACCAGTCATATAGCTGTGTGACAGGTTAAAGAGGAAGTTTCAGGGTAGTTTTTCACACAGAAGCCAGATCCTGTGCCTGATTCCTGGTACCACCTAGGGCCCAAGATGACCAAGCAGCTGCGTTGTGCCCTTTACCCTGAGAAGGGCCACTAGCTGAAGGGGAAATGACAGCGTACGTGGGGTGGGGGCTGTGGGGGTGCTGGCTTGTTGGTTGTTCTCCAGGAAGCTCCTCTGGGGTAATTCAGCCACCTTGGCTCTGACAGGCCCCCCAGGGAGCAAGGAGACTCTGAAAAATCAAAGATACATGGAGAAACCTGGGACTCAATTTCCCAAGCCTCTCTAAGCCATGCCCATTACACCTTTGGTCTCAGCACAGTTCATTACCTTGTGCCTCACTCTTAGACTTCTCTAAAAAGAATCAGCTTCATCATTAATTCTCAATTTTGTACTTGCTCAAAGTTTTACACTGGAGGTCACTATCCTTATGAAGAATTGTGCAGCTTCCTAATAAGAATAATAGGAGATGGTGGAAAAATTAAACTCTGATTTAAAACAACCTCAGTATTTAATGTTATTTTTAAATGTGAGCCTTTGCAAAAAGCTTCACTGTAATAAAGCACCCAGAGCATGCATCAGCTCGGATACAAGGTATGAAATCAAGCCACAACAGAAAAGGAACCAGTCAACAATTACTAGGCTCATAACACATCACAGGCTCTTAGAACACTTAAGAAATTAGCTGAAATTATTGCAGCTCATGGAGGATGACTGAGAGCTTCCAAGACTGATAAAGGCTAATGTAATGGGTTGGAGGTAATGGTGCTTTGTTGGGGAGGGGATGTGTGAGGCAAATTATCTTTGCTGCACCCTGGTTCCCAGGATGCCAATAGACGTAGAGACAGATTGGCTCATTAGGAAAGGCTCTTTACTGCAAAGACAACGTTTGCTCTGGAGCCAGGCTCCCCTGCCTGTTGCCACCATAGCTGGGGGCCAGGCTAACAGCCCACATGGTAGTCTCTTTATTTGTACATTGTCCCTACCCACCTCCCCCAAACCCTGCCCCTGTTCCTGCCTCAGTGCATTCTCTCCCCTTTCTTCAGATACCAGCTAGGATGACCAACTTTTGTCACCTTCTTTTCCTCTGTCCTAGGGCTAGTCTTGTTTTCTTTCTTGCTTTCTTTTTTTTGGCAGCTGGCCAGGAATCTTGTTTTCATAGTAACTATACACATTTCTGTCTACTGTTTCCAGCAATTAGTTCCAGAAGGTTGCCACTATGGGTAGAGGCTAACAAGTACCAGCGTTTGTTGTGTGCCACGCACTGTGCTGACTGCTTGGCTTGCATTGTCTCATATAGTCCTCACCATGGCCCTCCAGTGGGTGCTGTTAGTATTTCCATTTGCTTCATGGGTAACATGAGGTAACAATCTCTGACAGGTTAGTGACCTGCCCAAGGTCTCAAAGTGAACTGATGAACCAGGATCTGAACCAGGGCAGTCTGGCTTAGAGTCTGAGCTATCCCTATCAGGCCTTCCTGCCTGTAGACAAGTGGAGGGGGTGGGGATATTTATGCAGATGGCCCCTCTGTACAGTGCTGCAGGTGGAGCTGTGGGTCTGCACTGTCCACTGAGTGGGAGACACTGAAGTACAGTGGATGGCAAATAGGCATTGGGCCAGACAGACCCGGCTCAAACCTTACCTCTGACACTTACTAGTAAGTTACTCAACCTTTTCAAGGCTCATCTTTCTTATTTATAAAATGGGATAATACTAGGGGCTGTCCAGTTAGCTCAGTTGGTTGGTTAGAGCATGGTGCTGATAAAACCAAGGTCAAGGGTTTGGATCCCTGTACCAGCCAGCAGAAAAAAAAAAAAGGATAATGATTGATCTGTTTTCTTCCCAAATCCTCCATAAATGGAGGGCTGGGGAGGAGGAGTGGAACTGCTAATTAAAGCCCACATCTTTCTTATTTATAAAATGGGATAATACTAGGGGCTGTCCAGTTAGCTCAGTTGGTTGGTTAGAGCATGGTGCTGATAAAACCAAGGTCAAGGGTTTGGATCCCTGTACCAGCCAGCAGAAAAAAAAAAAAGGATAATGATTGATCTGTTTTCTTCCCAAATCCTCCATAAATGGAGGGCTGGGGAGGAGGAGTGGAACTGCTAATTAAAAACACTATATCACTTCAGCCTGTCAAATTTTTTGGAGGGGGTGTGGCGGGTCGGTAAGAGGATCCCCTTTTTTTTGATAGCTGGCCAGTAAGGGTATCCAAGTTGTCCAAACCCTTGACCTTGGTGTCACCAACACCATGCTCTAACCAAGTGAGCTAACCAGCCAGCCCTATCAGCCATTCTATTTTCTCTGTATGACAAGGTAACAAAAAGTTAGGAAATTATGAATAATTCTAGGTGTAGGAACTGAATCTACAACTGTTTATTAAAAGCATGGTTCATTCAGTCATTCAATAAGCACGGACTGAGTGTCCACTAAATGTCAGGCACTAGGATTGGCACTTGAGAGAGGGAGAAGAATGATACAAAGACTATTGTAATAAGTGCAATGACTGATAAAAGAGTGGGCTGAACACAGAATTCTTGGCAACACTGACATTTAAGGGGTGGGCAGGAAAGATCCTGCAACAGTGATGGTAGGAGAGCTTAAGAAGGGGCAGTGGCCAAGCAGGGTGAGACTAGGGAGCACTTGCTTTGGGTCTGAAATTGAAAAGGGCACCAAAAAAACTCAGTAATTAAATAATATTTCATTAAAAAATCAAAATTAATATAAAAATCCATGATAAATAAAATACCAACGTTTTAAATAAAGACAGGATCTGACCCTGTGCCCATATGACCCAGCCTCACTCCTCTCACCCTGTGGTCAAATGGAAAATGTTGTCAAGTAAGACAAGGAAGGAAAACGGAACTCTAGATTTGGCAACAAAGAGGCTGCTGATAACCTTGGTGAGGTTAGTGTCATGAGTTGAGGGGACAAGAGCCAGATTATAGTCACCAGTGTTTCTCAAATCTTATCTGTGGACCACTGGCATCAGAGTCACCCAGGGTGCTTGTCAGAAAAGAAGAGCCCAGGGCCCCACCCTCAATCTACTAAATCAGAACCATGGGGGTTGAGGTGGGGAGGTAGACTGTTAATATGTGTTTTAAACCTCTTTTATGCACAATTATGTCTGAGAAATATTAGGATGAACCTAGAGATATATTCAGTGGTATCCCTTTGGCCTGTGTCCTAGGCTTGATTCTGATTAGTAATTTTATCAATGACTTAAATGTAAGAAAAAGGGAGCTGTGTTTACTTAAACCTTCAGTTCTGACGAGCTGCAGACTCTCTAGTTCATTCATTCTTTTATTTAGCAAACATGTGCCAAGCATTGTCCTGGGTGTCAGAAACACAGAGATGAGTAGAACAGATACAATGCTTGCCCTCATAGATCTTGTGATCCAGTGGGGGAAAGAGAGATATTAAGCAGGTGATAATAATATAATGAAAATAAAGATAGAGGAATTGCTATGAGTATATATAAGATGGGAACATAAACTGTCTGGGGCTTAGAAAAGGGCTTCTTGAAAAAGTGATGTTTAAATTGAGACCTGAATAATGGATTAGAAGTTGATCAAATAAGGAGGGAGTTTGAGCCACGGGCCAGCCCACATCTTTCTTATTTATAAAATGGGATAATACTAGGGGCTGTCCAGTTAGCTCAGTTGGTTGGTTAGAGCATGGGGCTGATAA